CGGGGGGGGGGGGGTGCTGTCTCCCTCTCTCTCTCTCTCCATCTCTCTCAGGTAAACATACACGCACTCTAGCAATTAAAAATAAAAAAAAGAATGTGTTAACCATGACATGCTTTAGAGTACAGAATACTCAGAAGGAACCTAAATTCTAAGGAAAAGCTAGAAGCAACCGGATTAGCCGAACCAGTGAATGCTTCAACGCTCAGTGTTATACCCATCCAGCAGAGCACCACCGAAGGCGTGCTACAGTGTTAATGTACAAAAACAGGTTAAAGAAAGTGTGTGCTGGAAGCCCATCTAACTGCAAAGCACTGAACACCGTCACTCCGCCGAGTAACAGCAAATACCGTGGTCTCAGGCTGTGCCAAGTGCTTTATGTGATGACACCTTGGGAACGACTGTAATTCCCGCTTTCCAGGTGAGGACACTGAGGCTTAGAGGGGTTCAGGGAATTGCCCGACACACACACACTTAGGACACTTATGAGCCAGTCAGGGCCAGAGACGGCAGAGGTTTGAGACGGCAGAGGTTTGAGACGGAGGGGCAGAGGAAGGCCCCCTTCTCTCCAGCCTCCCCCAAATGCTAGGTCCACCCACAACGCCTGGAAGTCTGATTCAGACCAACTGCGCCGTTAGGGGCAGACATGCTCAGGGTGGTCTCTGCCCACAGCAGCCAGGCTGGCTTGGTCTCTGCCCAAGTGTCTCGGTTTACTGGGGAGATTCGAGAGGACCAGCCTCTGGACTGATTGGCACACACACAAACGCTTATTCTCGCCAGGAGGGAATCTGATTCTCACTCAGGGTTTGGTTTCCTCCCTGGCAGGCATCAGCTCCCCAATTTGTTTCCAGCGAACACACTCGGGAAGTCGGATTTCGCTCCTAATGCTAGAGAGGAAAAGGTTTATCGGCCCATATGAATAGGCTTCTATTTCCCTGGAGTTAGAGCTCAGGCTTCACAAAGTGGCCATTGAGAAGGACGGCAGATGCGAACGCAAACCCATAAAGCACGGTGTGTTTAAACTGAGAGCTGGCACAGTGGAGGCCTGCGTTCTGGAAAGCGTATCAGGGGCACCACGGCCACCCGGTGCCAAGGGCTAGAATGTGGCCGAGGTCCTCACTGCCTCTCTGTGCCCACCCTTGTAGGATGAGGGGGCATCAGGGCACCTTCAAAGTCCCCACAATTACTGTCCTAGCCTGAGACCTAGCTTCCCACTCATGGGCCTCAGAGAGTAAGTGAGCTGCCAAGCCTCTCGGAGCCTCAGTTTCCTCACCTGTGCATTGGGAAGGGTAACGACTATCTCGTGTGTGAGCTGGAGAGATTCAGGGAGAAAAGGGAGAGATTAAATCCCCTTCCCAGAGGCACAGTGCATGCAAAACACAATGGCTGCCCCCATCCGTATTTACAAGGTACAAGTCGATCCAGTCAGACAGCTCTGTTCTGGCTTCTAATAATGGTGACATTCACCACTAGGATTTTTATCACGGAATGCCTGTGAGCTCACTTATTTTCTAATGGCTCCGAGAAAATTCTGAGTATAAACCATATATTACCTCCCGACCAGGGACGTGTCTTCTGTACAAGCGTAAAACCTTAACTGAAAAATGAGTTTGCAGGCACAGGCCACCAGGCAATGGGGATGAGGGAACACCTCCGCCCCATCCGGGCACAGCCTCCACGCCCCACGGTGGCCATCTCAGGCATACCTGGCTGAGACGTTGGTGAAGTGCATGTAGGAAGATATAACCACTCCGATGCGTCCTTTCCCGCCCTAAGGAGACAAAAGGTGAGCTCGTCAGAACAGGAGAAGGAGGTTAGGTCAGTGAAGTTACCCACCATGACCTTCCAGGCAAGGGATTCAGCACCCAACGCATTGCCGCTGCCTCCAGGGCAGGTAGCCTGCATGCCCGCTGGCCACAGCAGGTCCAGGTGCAATGTGGGTGGCAGTGGAAGCCCCCACGTCAGGGGGATGGAGGTAGTCAGTCATTTCCTACCACATTCCCCAGTTAGGCCAGAATACAGAGCCAGGAGCTACCGCGATTCACATGATGTAATTACCCCTGTGAAACAGAAGCGAGGCCGCTCATAGGCTGACGACCATCGGAGCTCACACGTGGCTCACAGCGACGGCAAAGGATTCACCGTGTCAGCACTTCCGACTCTCCCACAGCCATCAGCAAAACCACCTCACAGGGAGGCATTACAGAAAAGTCGCCACTCACACTGTAGCCACAGACACAGACAGTCAGGCCACAGGCTGAAGAGACCAACGAGAGGGGGACATTACATGACAGACCACCCTCGCCAGGTCCAGAGGTCACTGCCTTCCAGAACATTCCACCATGACCTCCAGCAGTGACTGACACACCACAGCCCAAGGTGGTTCCGCCCATGATGTATTATCCTACCCTGTGAGCTAAGACTAGCGTTTATGGTTTTAGGCCGTTGAAGAACCATTCTGTGAAGTCCAAATTTCAGTCCCAGACCTAAAGTTCGATTGAAACATGGACACCCCGGCTGATTTTGCACATGTGCAGTGGCTTCACTTACACCACAGAGGCAGGACTGAGCAGCGTGGCAAGAGCGTGTGGCCTGGCTCCCAAAGCCTAAACTATAGTCTGGTTCTTTTTAGAAAAGTTTGTTGACCCCTGATGTAGAATCACATAAAGTCAAAATGGCAGAGCCACTAGCATATGGCCTCCTAACCCTATTCCTGGACAGGCATGACTGAGCAAATACAAATCAAAATTCTAGTCTCCTCCCCAATCATATGTCATTGTCACCAGGGGTATACTGCACTGCCTTGTGGACATTGGACACACCTCATAGAGATTTAACGCAGATGTGTGCGAACCCATCTGCAGCCAAATCCTGGCACATGAGGTTATCAGCTGCATAGCTGCTAGTACGCTTCTTGCATAAACTGAATTTGTTTTCAAACGGAGATTTATCCACAAGGAAACCACACCTCAGCCCAAACAGGCACACACCTGGTGTCACTCACTGTTGATATCCATAGTTTTTGTGAACTGGTTATGGATATATAAGCAAATGTTGGGAGAGCCGAAGGAAGAGAGAGACTGCAAACAGTAACTACAGTTACTATGGTTATTGTTACAGTTACTGTACTGTAGTTGTAACTTCAACACCCCACTTTTAGCAATGGCTCAATCGCCCGGTCAGAAAGTAGATAAGGAAAACATCAGACTTGAATTGTACACTGCCCATCAAGTGGGCCAGACAGACATGGATGGAACGTTCCATCCCACTGCGGCAGAGGGCACATCCTTCTAAAGTCCCCCGGGGCCTCCTAAGACAGATCTTCCGTCAGGCCACGAAGCAAGTCATAACAGGATTAACCAGACTGAAATCATATTGAGTATCTTTTCTGACCACAATGGTACAAAACTATAAATCAGTAACAGAGGGATTGGAAAATTCACAAATATGTGAGGAAATTGTGTAACACTCTCCTGAACCACTGGGCTAAAGATGAAATTAAAAGGGAAATTTAAAAATATCTTTAAACATGAGATATTTTTTTCTTTTTCTTTTTAATTACATTTTACTTACTTAGTGACCTCCACTTCTCATTATTTTCCTCTCAGCACCTATTCAACTTCATCTACCAACTTGTGTATTGAGATTTTCGTTTGTATACTCAAATTTCTCCTCCTAAGACCATGTTCTCTGAATGTTCTTCTCATACAGTAGTATGGATGCTTTGTTTTCTAAGGATATTAATAAAATACATATTTTTAAAAATTTCTTCCCTTTCCTTCAAATTATTCCTTTGTCTTCCATTTTTTCATCTCTGACTTCTGTACAGCAACTTAATCAAATGTATTGGGATCCCTGTCTGCTGAAAATTGTGAGTGTGTGTGTGTGTGCATGTGTGTGCGTATGTGCATATGTGTGTGTGCGTGCGTGCGTATGTGTGTGTGTGTATGTGTGTGTGTGTGTATATTTCCAGATGTGGGTGACTGTGTTCCTATCAAACTACATGCATGTGTCCAAAACTAGGCCTTCAGAGACTTACATAAAAATGGCATTTTAGCTCACAGGGTGTAGGAAATCAGGGGGTGGCCAGAACCAGCCTGTGGGCCAGAGTCTGTCAGTGCAAGTAACATTCTTTTGGACTTGAACAATTTGGGCTTGTTCTTAACGAAAATCATAGATTCGCTGATTGCACAATTTGCTCAAAAACAAAGGGTGAGGTGTGGGTGCACCCTTCAGAAAGAATCACAGCTTCTGCTCATCAGTAATGGGGAGTGGAAAATCAGCAAACCCTTGCATCATGCAGGAGAAGAGGGGCGTGGGGCACAGACCCCACTCACTCCTGCAGGCCGAGACAGGCCCAGCTCTGCTAGTGATTCCTGGCTTGGAGTGCACACTCTGCCAAGCAGGTGGATTCTGGCAAAGGTCAGCCATCCTCCCTCCCCCCATCCCACAGTGATGATGATGAGCGTCTGCTAACATCGACATCAGCGATTTCTAATTAAGAGAGGGCTGATCTCTTGCGGTGTGTTTTCTAAGTGTTTTGAAAATGGCTTTCATGACATCAGACTAGGGCGAGTGACCGAGCACACGAGCCACTAGGAGAAGTTCCAGCAGGTTCTTGATGAATTCCACCAAGGTTTGTCTGGATAGCCCAGGGTCCCTTAGAGAGGGGACACATTCTAGGAGTTCTAGGTGGCCACGTTATCAGTGGAGACCCATGTGTTTCAAATAACATCATCATTTATTTCAATGTCCTTAGAAAGTTGAACTGACATCTAAAGAGAAAAAAAATGGCAGAGTCCAGCAATGCCAGGGTGCTCTGAGGATGCAGCGGGCAGGGTGTCTGGACATCTCCCCATGGGGTGCTCTGGCTGGTCCTGGCACAACCTCTGAGGGTCCCCACCACACGTTAGAAGTACTGCTTGTAATGGCCTGTCAGTGACCCTGTGCAATGATGACACAGCAGTATCAAGCCACCGTGTGGGAATCACCAGGACAGCCCAGCTACACAGACAGTGGCAAGCTGCTACACACTACAGGAGCCATTGGGAAGGCCCTGGGTCCCATCCAGGTTGCCCTGAACATGCTGAGTGTGGCATTCCCTCGGTTCTGGCTAACGGAGTAGGTGGATCGGTATGTAAAACCCTGTTGAGGGTACTGCCTCGCCCTCTCAAAATAAATGTTTTAAACTTTTTTAAAAATCACAGAGCAAGGATGTTTTCTTTTTTTTTTTTTTTTCAATGTCTCCCTTTAGGGCAAGCAGGTGGCATAGTGGTTAAGGCACTAGAGTCTGACATGGCCAATCACAGTTCGAGTTCAGGACCTGGTAGCTTGAAAATCATGCGGGGCACACGTGCATACAAGCCCAGAGTTCGTAGAGAAAAATGGAGAAGGGACTGTGGAGTGATCTTTCACTTTCTGTCTCTCTCGGGCAAGCACATGTGTCTTATAGCAAAAACCTTAAAATAAAATTTAATCTTGAGGGACCAGCAGTTGGTGTAATGGCTATATCGCTGGACTCCCATGTAGTCAACCATGGTTCGAGTTCCAGACCCGGTGGCTTAAACTCACGCCAGGCGCGTGTGCATGCATGCCCAAGATCCTGAAAGGAGAATGGAGGAGAAGGGATTGTGGCGTGACCATCCCCCCTGGGGGGTGACTTCTCGCTTCCTGTCTTTCTGTCTCTCTCTGTCTTTCTGGCGAGCACACGTGCCCTATAGCAAAAACCTCTCAAAAAAAAAAAAAAAAAAAAAAAGAAAAGAAAAGAAAATTAATCTTGTTCTCGGGACCAGCAGGTGGTGTGGTGGCTAAGGGAGCTGGACTCCCACATGGCCAATCACAGCTCAATTCCGAGAACTGGCGACTTGCTTTCTCACTTTCTCTCTCTCTCTCTCACTTTGTCCCTCTCTGGTCAAATTTAAATAAATAAATAAATAAATAAACCTAAATAAAATAATTCATTTAAAAAAAAAAAAGAAGTCTTAAAAAAAATCTAACCACTGCCTGTCTGCCTTTTCTGGTTTAACACTGAAACTCAAAGCTGGGGACGGGCCCTTTGCACAGCACTTGGAAACGCGCAGGCTAGCCGTGACAATATGGTGAGGGGTCTGTTCGATGGTTTTCAAGGGATAAAATCAAATCAGGTGTGAAAAAAGAGCTGCAGCCACAGAGAAGCTGAGACGTGTGCCGAAGTCCATCTTCTGCACATCGAATGCTGTCACACAGCCCAAGTGTGGCAGGTGCAGCAGCAAGCTGTCCTGCACCAGGCCTGGCCGTGTCTACCTTCACAGAAAAATTATATTAGAAGTCTGATATACTCGAAGGGAAGATTCCTCTCAATTAAACTCCATAATATGATGGACCTTAGTGCAGCTTCCGAGTGTGAAAGAGTCTGGAAAAAGAAAAAACCTGAAGATGGAAATGACAACAGACCACGTCACAACGGCTGGACGCCTGCATGGACCCATGGTCCATCAGTCCATCCCTGCGAACAGCAATGGTCCCTACCTTCTCTCCTCAAATGCTGAGCCCACTCGGACCCCCCAAAGCATGTGAGATTAGGTAACTCACCCTGCAGTGAATGACAACCACGTGCTGGGGGTCGCTGTTCAGCCAGGACTCCTGCGCCTTGCATATGGTGCACATCTTGTCCAGGGGTGGTGCGTGCAGCTCCGGCCAGCCCATGTCCATAATCTGCAATGACAAAGAGGAGTAGCCAGGGCTCCTCACCTTCCACCTCTGAGGCCGTCACCTGCTTCTCTCATTTACCAGTACATCTCATCTGGGATTAGTGGACAATGCTACACAGTCCTTTTCTAAAGCTGAGCGGGCTTGGAACCAGCAGTTAGTGTAATGGCTATGTCGCTGGACTCCCACGTAGTCGACTGCGGTTCATGTCCCGGACCCGGTGGCTTAGAACTCACACCGGGTGCGTGTGCGTACGTGCCCAAGATCCCGAGAGGAGAATGGAGGAAAAGGGGATTGTGGCGCGACCATCGCCCCTGGGGGGTGATTTTTCGCTTTCTATCTCTATGTCTCTCTCTGTCTGTCTGGCGAGTGCACGCGCCCTATAGTGAAAACCTCTCCAAAAAAAAAAGAAGAAAAGCTTAGCAGGCTTTTTGGCCAGGTTCCCTTACTGAAAAGAAGAACAGATTTTGTTGCTCACTTGCAGGGTCCCTTCTTCCAGGGTCACATGTGCTGTTTTGTAGCAGGGGTGATATTTCTAGAAAGGCCTTGCAGTCACTGATGGTGCAGGGTTTTTGTCGGGAGAAATCAGGGGCCGGTAGGAGATCTGAAACAAGAGCTTTAGGCCCAAGCTGCTGCCAAAATTCTCCCCCTTAGTCCACAAACCACAGTTTGGGGAATGCAGTAAGCTATCTCATGTACTACAGAAACAGCTCAAGGACAAAGGCCTAGCCCACCTGCTCCAGATGACAAACTTTTCCAATGAAAGCCAGGAAAGTGCCCATGAAGGTGGAAGCACTTTCAAGCCATAATTAGGTTTGCAGCCCAAACAAAGAAAATCACCATTACATAAGAACACAGTGGGGGGACCAGCAGTTGGCATAATGGCTATGTCGCTGGACTCCCATGTAGTTGACCGTGGTTTGAGTCCTGGACCCAGTGGCTTAAACTCACGCCGAGCACATGTGTGTGCATGCCCAAGATCCTGAGAGGCGAATGGAGAAGAAGGGATTGTGATGTGGCCATTCCCCCTGGGGGGTGATTTCTCACTTTCTCTCTGTCTCTTTCTGTCTTTCTGGTGAGCGCACACGCCCAATAGCAAAAGCCTCAAAAAAAAAAGAATACAGTGGGGCTGCATTGAGGGGGAGGGTCCAGCCCTGAGAGACCCTCCAATCCAAGCACGCAGGGCGGCCACGTGGGGGCGCTGTTTTTCCTCTTATTTCCTTTGCTCCAGGGAGCAAGAGAGGCAGAGTTCTGATTATGAAGTAAGTAGGAGAAATAATGTAAAAGGTGTGCACGTTTCAGAAAACAAAACACAGATCCCTGCCATTAATCAGAGACAACCACAATAGCATGTGGAGAAATCCCTGCTCCCCCCCCCTTTTTTTAAGGTTTTCTGCTATAGGGAGTGTGCCGGGGAGAGAGAGAGAGAAGGAAAGTGAGAAGTCACTCCCCAGGAGGGATGGTCACTCCACAATCACCTTCTTCTCCATTCTTCTCGGGATTTTGGGCACGCCCACACACGCACCCAGAAACCTTCGTCCCTTTTCCTGTGCACATTTAGCATTACTGGGACACTGAGACGCTATTATCCATGAAGTCTATATCCTACTTTTGCTAACTAGCATTGAGAGGCAAGCTGCCAGGTTACGACTTTGTCCTCTCATGGCTGCAAAACAGTCTATATACAGGAGAGAGACACATATATAACATCAGCTTTCTGTATCCACAGGTTCCATATCCTCAGACTCAACTAACTACAGGGCAAATATACTACAAAATAAATAAAATTTGTTGCTGAACAGATACAAACTATTTGTATGGAGCATGTAGAGACCATTTTTTCTTTCATTATTCCCCATACAATACAGTACAACTACCTACATAGTCTTTGCATTGTATTAGGTGTTATAAGCAACGAAGAGGTGATCTAAAAAGTCTATGGGGGGATCCAGCAGTTAGCGTAATGGCTATGTCGCTGGACTCCCACGTAGTCGACCGCGGTTCGTGTCCCAAACCCGGTGGCTTAAAACTCACGCCGGGCGCGTGTGCGTGCATGCCCAAGATCCCGAGAGGAGAATGGAGGAGAAGGGATTGCAGCGTGACCATCCCCCCTGGGGGGTGATTTCTCACTTTCTGTCTCTATGTCTCTCTCTGTCTGTCTGGCGAGCACACGCGCCCTACAGTGAAAATCTCTCAAAAAAAAAAAAAAAAGTCTATGGGGAACTGGTGTGGGTTACCTGCAAATACAAATAGCTCCATCATTTTATGTAAGAGGCTTGAGCACCTACAGGTCTTAGCATCTAGGTGGACACCTGCAGACCCCCAAGGAAGATACATACACAGATGTAGCATAACTTACACTAACACAGTCAAAATTTTTCCTAAATGATCGCTATTAAAAATGATAGGGGCAGAGGGAATGGTGGTGAATCTAAATGGAACAGGAAGGAGATCGTCGTGGAGAAGGAGATGTTCTGTAAAATCGTTGTGGAGGTCATGGATATCTACATGTGACTGACAGAGAAACACCCCCACGCCCGAGTACATACATGCAAAACTAGTGACATGTGAATGAGGCTGTCCCCATTCTCTTACAATCAGTTTTACATTGCAGGGAGACTGGGTGAGATCGCTTTGCATTCTTTTTGCAACTTCCCATGAAGCCATAATTATTTCAAACTAAAAAAATAAAATAAATTTTTAAATACTTAGTGGAGTATTACTACCCCCATCACAACACATCCCACAAATTCAGGTAACAACTTATTCGTGTACAAGATAAGGAAGCATTGTGTACACGTTACAAAACTCACAACAGTAAGGGATAAAGTCCATACCTTTGGGTTAAGCTTCGTGAGGTCGTATCTCTTTTCCGAAAGGTTTAATACCTATCAAGGGGAGAAAAGCGCATTTACAGAAACGATCAACCGTAGAGACAAAGAGAAAACATCACTGCATTTTTATACGCTGTCATCATAGTATCAAGACTGTAAAAGACTGACATGTACGGATAGATACATCCTCACAGGGAAACACACAAGGACCAACCCGCTGTGACACTAGCTCGCTACAGTACTGAAAGCCATACGATGACCATGGTTCGGATCCCATGCCTCCTTGAAAAGACACCAGGAACTGATAAGGCACCCAGGATCCTGAGGAGCTGGAGGGCTGGGGAGAGATGAAGGCATGACAAGCCAACGGAGGGAGCCACCTCTCTCTCATGCACGTGTGCTTTGTATTATAAAGAAAAAGGAAGAGAAAAAAGGCAAAAATAAATAAAACAAGGGTGCACTGAATGCTTTTATATAAATTCAGTGTTCTACTTTTATTAATTAACATTATAATGGGCAATTCACCATGTTATTATTTTTTATTCTAATGGCTGCAATGTATTTCAACATATAGAATATATACATACATACATAAGGAGGCTTCAACAAAGTTGTGGAATAACAGAATTAAAACACAAGCTTATTTTTGATATTAAACAATCTTGAGGGACCAGCAGATGGTGTAATGGTTATGTCGCTAGACTCCCGCATAGTCAACCGCAGTTCGAGTCCCAGACCTGGTGGCTGGAAACTCAATCCAGGCATGTGTGCATGCCCAAAATCCCAAGAGGAGAATGGAGGAGATGGGATTGCAGCAGGGCCATCCCCCATAGGGGGCAGCAGGACGGTGGGTTTCTCGCTTTCTGTCTCTCTGTCTCTCTAGCAAGTGCATGTGCTCTGTAGCAAACATCTCTCTGGGGGAAACTCTCCAAGTCCACACACAGTGTTTTCATAATACACGTTTTACATGGACTTTTGAAGACTCCTGAATATACACGCACTTCTGTACACCAAGACTTCCTGGTCTCGCCTCTGGAAAACACAGGCTTCCATCGGAGCAAGGACAGACACCAGGCCTGAGGCAGGCCAACTCAGGCCTGAGGAGGTCTTAGCTCATGACCAGCTGAGAGCCTCATCGCAAGGTCACAGGCCAATCAGAGCTGGGGTGGTGGTTAAGGCGGCTGGATCCCACATGGCCAACTGAGCAGTCTGAGATCTGGCGGCTGGAAAAACACCTCAGGTGTGTGTCCAAACCACCAATAGGGAGGAAAAGGCAGGATTGATGTGTGAACATTTCCTGTACGGGGTGCTTTCTTTTTTGTTTTTTTTGGAGAGGTTTTTGCTATAGGGTGTGTGCGCTCGCCAGACAGACAGAGAGACAGAAAGTGAGAAATTACCCCCCAGGGGGGATGGCCACGCCGCAATCCCTTCTCCTCCATTCTCCTCTTGGGAACGCACACGCGCCCGACATGAGTTTAAGCCACCAGGTCCGGGACTTGAACTGCAGTCGACTATGTGGGAGTCCAGCGACATAGCCATTACACTAACTGCTGGTCCCCAGGGTGCTTTCTTATCCCCACCCTTATCTCTCTCCCTCTAGCACTACACACCCTCTGGCCAATTAAAAATAAATAAATAAACCTCTCAAGTGATTTCTGTACTTCCGACAATGGGCAAGTTTCTATTTCATGGACTGGAAGGAACACAAGAAGAGAGATGTTTACAAAAAGACTTGGTGCTACATGACTATTGCCACACACACTCATGCCCCACTCAGTGATGGGGGTACGTTCTAAGAAACGCATCACTGGACAAGTTCATCGTTGTGTGGACTTGACAGAATGTAATTACAAAGTCCTGGGTGGTACAGCTCCTAGACCCGCAGCTTCCTGGTGTAATCTCACGGGCCCACTGCCATGCAGGCAGTCTGTCCCGAAACATTTGTGGCACGTTTGACTGTACCCACCAAGCACAACGGAAAGAGGATGACATTCCAGTAGTCAGGGGTCTTGAAGATGAGCTAGTGTGGCCCAGACTTAGGTGCAGTCAATGGCACCAACTGCAGCAGGGCTGGAAGCCATATGGCCTCTGTGGGGCTGGACCCCAACCAGGCAGACCTGAAAACATGCCAGGCACATGTATGCATGGCCGAGATCCTGGTAAGCTAGAGGGCTGGAGAGGGATCGCAGCATTGCAACACCTTACCAGGGTGCCTCGCTCCCCCCACGTGCGTACACAGTCTCAATGAACAAAAATAAATTCTTAAAACTTAACTGAACATCCCTATGACTGCAGAAACAGGGACCTGAGGAAAGCAAAGAGGTGAGTGATCATCCTGGACCCCAGAGGGTCCTGCCTACAAGGAGGCCGCTGTTTGTGTCCCAGCCTGAGACCCCCTGTGTATTTCATGCTGCACGAGCTACCTCCGGACCCACTCGGCCCTGTGGGCATCATCAGGGATGCAGCTGCCCTTCCTCAGAGGGCCCAGGACAGCATGACCAGACACACCCCTTGGACGTCCTCCATAAAAGGCCTGTGGGCTCAGATGGCTGTTTTTATACATAATTGCTGGACGCATTCAGAGAAACAGAGGTTAGTCCCCATAGTGGTCCTTAACCTGGGTCTGCAAAAGACATGCACATATAGCTTTCTTCAGATTTTTCAAAAAGGTCTTTGTCCCGGCCCAGCCCCTTAGTGCAGCTTCTCAGTGCTGTGCACAGAGGGTTCGATTCCCACCTGGTGGACCTCCAGGGCTAGGATGAGAACCATGCCAGGCGCACATGCAGCTGTGCCCAAGATCCTGACATGCACAGGATGGAGAAAGGCAGGGAAAAGGATTGTGGCATGACTACACCCCATTGCGGGGGAGGGATTCTCTCTCTCTCTCTCTCTCTCTCTCTCTCTCTCATAAGCACATGTGCAATTTGGCAAAAACAATAAATAAAATTTTTAGAGTTGCTGTCTGAAAACAAGCAGGGAGCAGCTGCTCTAGCCATGTTGCAGGAGGAGCTCTGGCCCTGACAAGGCCTCACACGGTGTCAGGTGAAATCTTTCCTGGTGTTGTCCAGGACCCCCAGCCTCCTGCAAGGTCTGTAGGGGAAAGTGGGGCAGGGAAGGAGGAAGAGAGGAACACAGAGGGGACTAGGCCATGCTGACCATCTTGAGCACAGGGCAGACCACCTCTGGGGTAGGAAAGCTCCCAATGGCCCGTGCCCATGGCCAGGCCACAGCTAGGACGGCTGCAAGAGGAGAAAGCAGGTGTTGCAGGAACCCTGCCCACTCACCAGGTAGTTGTCCCCGTGCTTGGACTTGAGCATGCGTGTGACCTCCTGCAGGCTGTGCAGGTAGGACTCCTCGGAGCAGCTGGCAGGGAAGGACACTGCGATGATGCGCTCTGTGACATACGTGAGGTCAAGCTCGGGGCTGTTCTCCATGGCGGGGCTTAGTACGGCAGGCCTGTGGGAGGAGGGGACACTCAGCCATGGCAGGATGCACTGGGTAGAGTAAAGAGGCCTGCCCACATGGCCCTCCTGGGTTTCACGCAGACCTGCGGTGGCCTGATTCCTGGGCAACAGACCATGGTGCATTTTCTACACTGTTTTCCTATCACAGGAAGAGGGGGACCTCCATAACCTTGCAGGGTATGACCGAGTATTAAAGAGAAGGGGTCAGGACAATGACCTGGCTCACACAGACAGCACACAGGTGCGAGTCACCGACAGGACAGGCTTCTGTGGCTCCTAGGAAAGCGGGAGGGATCAAGACTGGACTCCTGGGAGGGGCCCCCAGATGCCAAGATGTTAGCTGGGAGGAGGTGTGCTTCAGGCAGGGGGCTACCCAAATCAGCCGCTGCATGCAGCATCCTAGGGCAACTGTGGCAAGAACAAGTTGGTGACATGGTCAGACCAAGCTGTCCCCAAAGGCCCAGGCTGTCCCTGACCCTGCAGAGGGGAGAAGCGGGAGGAACTCAGCCCTGAGTGGTGTGTCATCTAGTGTGGAGCAGCTTGGTGGGTCTGTCGTGCTCCATGCAGGACCCTGCTGGGACCGACTAGCTTAGCCCAGTCATGCAGGATGCAGGTGGCCAGAAGGCATCCAGGTGTACGATGACAACATGTGGAGGAGTGGGGCAGCAGAAACGGCCAGGTTTACCCAGCAAGCAGGGCTGGACTCTAAGGACGGGCTATGAGGGGGGCCAGGAGCCTGGGTGACGCTGGACACAAGGCCTCTCCACAGTCACTGCACGTCCCCAGAAGGGCCCTGAGACTGATACTTACGAGGGCCCAATGTCAGGGCTGAGAGTGGTTACCGGATGAAATAAAAGGGCCCTGGGGAGTAGGGATGAAGCCACACCAAGTGGTGACACCAGAGGGACAAGCAGGCACATGGGAGGTGAGCTTCCCGTCATCCATCCAAGGTCCGAAGTCCAGTCTGGGGGTTCTCCCACTCTTACAATGTGTGCTTCTCTCTCTCTTTTTAAATTTTGGAAAAATTATGACCAGCAGATGGCATAATGGTTATGTCATTGGACTCCCATGTAGTTAACCGTGGTTCAAGTCCAGGACTTGGCGACTTAAAACTCACACCAGGCGCCTGTGCATGGGTACCCAAAATCCCAAGAGGAGAATGGAGAAGGGACTGTGGTGTGGCCATCCCCCAGGGTGTGATTTCTCTCTTTCTGCCTCTCTGTCTGTTTCTGGCAAGCACATGTGCCCTAGACAAAAATCTCTCCAAAAATATAAAATTTTGGAAAAATTAAAGAGCATAAAAAATGGTATAGGAAACTTTCATGAACACATCACTCAACCTCAAAATAGCGAACACGTAACCACTCTGTTCCCACCCTTGCTGCCACACAGACTGCTCTGAGGCAGCCTCGGAATCCCATCACTGCATTGCTAGGTCCTGCGGTGCTGGTTTCTAAAAGATGAGGACGCTTTCTATTAGAAGATCCAGAAGGCCATTACCACACCTAAGAAAGAAGTAACATCAAACATCCAATAGCCTAAGTTTAATTTTTACAGTTGATTTGCTCCGATCGGGATCCAACCAACAAACTCACAGGATTTTTTGGGTGGTTTTCTTTCTCTCTGCTATTCATCAAAATGGATGCAAGAGTCTTGATTACTTTTAAAGATCAAATTCTGGGCTGGTCCCATAGCACAGTGGTTATTAACCACTGTGTACTGAAAACCAGATCCTATAGGGCCAATTGTGGTTTGAGTCCCAGCTCCGATGGCTTGAAAACCATGCTGGGGACCTCCACAAACATGCCCGGGACCCTGACAGGAAAGAGAAATAGAGGAAAGAAGTGTAATTTGACCATATCCCACTGGGGGAGATGCTCCCCTCCTCATAAGTATGTGCCCTTTAGCCAAAAAAATAAATTAATAAAATCCAATTTTTTTCAGCACTGATTTAAAAAGGGAAAAGAAAATAGTATCTCCTGTAGCCATTACAATCTTGCAGAGAGTCTCTCCAAAAGATTCGGGCATCAGAGCACTGACCAAGGCAGGCCCCAGTCACCTGCTCTGAAGATCTCGTGTAAGTGCGCCCTAATCAATTCTGGAATCTTCTCCCAACAGTCACATGTGAACAATCAAGGAAACAGCAATGTAATTATTTATTAAAAGACAACCACAAGTGTTTCCATGATCTGGGCTCCTAATAATGGCAATTGCATTCCTGAAACACATGCAAAATGCGTTACTTAATCACCTTCGATTATTAACATTTAAGATAGCAAAGAACAAAATAACAGATGACTATACAGAATAAAATAACAGCACGCCAGGATCCCTCCGTGGAGATCTGACCCATGGCCAGACACACGTGAAAGCGTCACCCACAGGAACACTCACCGCGACAGTGTGTCACAGCAGGGAGAAGTGGACAGCACAGAACTCCCCGGAGCCTGCAAATGACAAACAGGGTCATTTTGAAGTTTCCTTCCCAGCCAGGCCACACACACACATCTACCACCAAGGAGGAACTGGGACAGATGGACCATGGTGTAATCGTAAGGGGAAGAGCAAACGCAGTATCTGCTGGCTCGTCTTATCCCCAGGAAGTCTCCAGTGTGTGGGTGCATTTCAGGCAACCAAATGATACGACCGGGTAAGCTGCAGAAAGACACGGCCGCCATAGGGACAGAAGCACACTCTCAGGTCAGGGTGCTGGAGCCATGTGGAAGCTTGTTGGTCTCGAGCACTGGAGATGTCAACCAACCTCAGGCTTGACTGCTGTCACTGTCACTACCACGTACTTGACAGAATCACTTCACAAATGGCTTTAGGAATATTCCACTTTATTTATTTATTTATTCTGTCAAGGTTTTCTTTTGCCTTAGAGCGTTTGTGCTGGCCGGAGAGAGAGACAGTGAGAGGCAAAGTGAGAAATCACTCCGGGGGGAGGATGGGCACACCATAATCCCTTCTCTCCCATTCTCCTCCCGGGATCTTGAGCACTCATGCACCTGCGCCCGATGTGAGTTTCAAGCCACCGGGTCCAGAACTCGAACCACGGTGGGCCACATGGGAGTCTAGCGACAGAACCACTACACCATCTGCTGTGCCCTTATCTACTCCTTTTTTAAGAGACTGTCCAACAGGGAGAAAACTCAGACTATAATTACTTTATAGTTTATATAACCCCATGTGTATGTGTGTGGGTGTGTCAGGGTTACGTTACATGCCGAGGTCACACAGAGAGATGCTCTTCAAGTACAGTGGGGTCACAGTCAGATAAACTGCTAAGTCAAAGGCCACAGGATGCACCTCAGATACTGAACTCTGTGGCGGAGCACGGCCTACCGCAAATGCACTCGGGAACTTGCATTAACCAATGGCTGTGCACGATCATCTTCACGAAGCCTATATAATAAAGTACGGAACATCTCGTGTGCTATATTGACTATGCCACGTAACATATACCGTGTGGCATGAAATACATCCTGAATGGTTGCACGGATAGCCAGAGCACGGCCGCTACTGGATGTATATCGTTTTGCACGGCCGTACAGTTGGTACAGCCTAAGGTGAGCCACTGTGCTGTCAGGACTATCCGCACAGACACTGCTTCAGGGGTCCGCCCAGAAGTAAGAAAACAAAGATCTCCTCAAGGATGGCAGAGGCAATAGAAGAAGCCTAGACGTCCCCTCCAGGATCTAGACGCTCCAGGTAGAACTCTCCTGCATGCTCTTCCAGGCCCATGTCAGGTCAACCACATGCTGAGCATGGGCGAGGTCCATGGGGCCTCAGGGGCCAGAGCCCCCAACACACCGGTCTGCTCCCGCATTAACAGTGGCCCATCTCAGCAGCACCAGACAGCCCAGACTTGCCCCTGGTGACCTGCGTGGGCAGGTGCCACTCCCCTGGGCTCAGTGGGAAATGAAAGGACAGAAAATAAGCTCTCCTGCTATTTCAGGGATCAACAAGACAGATACTGTCCAGAATGTCACCAACACAAAGCCTAACTGCAACGCCGAAGTGCAAAGATAGAGAGAGAATCATCGTAGCCTTCCAGAACAGAGGCAGGAGTGGGAGCATGTGCTCTTCAGTTATGTGGCAAGGTGACAAGGGTTCAGTATGGGGCAAGAGACTGGGCCACTTGGACCCCCATGTCCACAATCCTGGGATGTTTTCCCTGGGCAAGACCTGGCCACTCCTCTTCTGTCCCTCCCTTCCTGATGTGAGCACAGCAGCAGGTCCCATCTCACAGGGATCCCAGAGATTCACAGAGACAACTTCTGTCCGTGACCTGCAGCCCCGCCCCTCCAGACACACCTGGCCAGGGGAAGCCTCCCACCTCCTGTCCTGCCTGGCCTCACTGCGGGGCCGCAGGGCCTGCAGAAGTGCAGGAAGCTCCCAGCTGATTCTATGGATCCCCAAAGACTTGGCCCAAAACCAGATGAACTAAAACCAATGAGATTATTTCTCTCACCTACTGGAAGGGCAAAGATAAGATACCAAAAGTGGCGAAATGTAACCTGAGTTGACATCTCGGAGGACAGCCTGTCAGCATGTATAAAAAGCAGGTGAAAAGAGAGGGTGGCCTTGCAGCTTAGAGGTTAAATAAATGCCATGAGTGGAAAGCCAGATCCCATATGGCCAACCGAGGTTTAAATTCCAGCCCTAGTGGCTTGAAAAATACACAGGGTCCATGTACACGGCCGTCCAAAATCCTAATAGGATGGAGAAATGGGGGGGGAGGACCAACTGTGCCCCATTGGGCCTCTCTCTGTCTCTCTCTGGCAGGTGCACAGATCACTGCCAATAAATAACTTTGAAAACATGCAGGGAGGCTGGACAGTGGTGCAGCAGTAGCACGTGATGCTCCATGGGACTGACCCACATGGGAGAGTTCCAGGTTCACTGTCCACCTCCTAAGTACCCTGGACATAGGTGTGCCCGTGATCCAGGGCTGGCCGAAGCTAGGGGTGGGACCCTGTTGGGGAGTGCTGTCTCTCTGTTTCTCTGTCTCTCTTGTTCATAGAGGAAATAAACTTTTACAAAAAAAACATTTGCAAAGTGTCAAGCATGTGACCAGTAATTCAAGGACTGGATCCTAAGGAAACCACCAGAAAAACGTGTGACTACATGGACGAGAGTGCTCCCTGTACTAGCAGTTCTGTAATAGCAGAAAACAGACAGCAGCCTAAGCGGTCAGCAGCACACCTCAGTGAAATCAGGTAAGCATTGCCCACAGGACCACGCAGCTCTGCAGAGGCTGGTGGGTGTGAGAACACAGGGACACCATGAGACGTGATGGGCAACAGGGCTGCCCCCAGGACGGCCACACCAGCATACAAGGAAGAGAATACAGGCCAGCCAATGGGGCAGCAGTGGGTGAGGTTCTACCATGCTGGGCCAACATGGGAAAGTCCTGGGTTCATGTCCCTAGGTCTCCCTGTGCATGCTGGATGTTCATGTGTCTATGACCCAGGCTGGCTGAGGCTGACTGGAGTATGAACACCTTTATTAGGAGAGAGGTCTCCCTCTCTTTTTCTCTCTCTTACAGAAGAATCTCTTTTTCTCTCTTTTAAAAAGACAGTATTTGATTCGTACACTCACACACACTCACACACAGACACAGACTACCTTATTTCTGGAGTGCACCGTTGTTTTGTTTTTGTTTTAAGAGAGAGATTTTTGATAGAGGGTGTGTGTGCTCACCAGAGAGACAGAAAGTAAAAAAAATCACCTTTCAGGGTGTCATAACCTGACAATGTGTTCGGCACCTGGACCAGGCCACCCATCCAAAACACAGGCCAGCACCATGGCATACTGGTTAATGGAGCCAGAATCCATATGGCCAATCGCAATTGGAATTCCAGCCCCAGCATCTTGAAAAACACGCCAGGCACATGCACATGTGTGCCCCAAGTCCCCAAAGGATGGAGAAATGGAGGAGAGGAGATTGCAGCATGACCGTGCCCCACTGGAGGTACTTTCTTCCTCTCCTTCTCTGTCAAGTGTACGTACTGTCTGGAAATAAAAATTAGTAATAATACTATGGTATTTGGTGTGTAATACTATGGTGTTGTCACTTGTCCAGTTTCTGCACGTACTCTGCACTTTCAGAGCCCAAGTAAGCCATGCTTCTAGTTTCACCATGACTCCGCGGTCGTGTAAGTTCATACAAAAGCCAGGACTTTGTGAACTCACGGGCAAGACACGTCATTCTCACATGCATCATGCATCTCTTCAAGACCACAGTCACACAGAGGGCATGCGCCCATCAAATGCTGGCACCAACTGAATGGTGTGGGGAGGGGCTGACCCTCTCTCAGGCAGGGCCACAACAGTGGAGGGGAAGACTGAACACCTTGTCAAGGACACTGAACTCCCTCCGGAAACCCAGGGCCCACTTCTTCAGCAGCCAAGTGAGGGTGAGCCAATAGTCTCTGAGTCCAGTCTAGCCTCATGTGCCCACATATATCTCCACACTCAAGACCTAAAGTCATGGCAAGTGCAACCTCTGCAAAAAGTCACTTTTTCAATCAAGAATTATAGGGAGTCCTCACATAACAGCCGAGTTCTGTCCTTACCAGTAGGTCATTGAGTGGATTGGGCAATAAGTGAGGAGGTTAAAAGCGGATGTCCTGTGGTGTGAAACGACACCATAGGCTATGTATTTTTCGGTAGATATCACGTGACACCACACTAGAATAATGACATTCTATCCATACAAAAAGCACACACATGACACATCACAACACAATCATGCAAAGCCAGCCTAATTGCTTGTATTTATTCTGAATAATGGAAAGGTCTAAAAGAAAATCTAACTTAATGGCTTCATTTTAATTTGCATCTCTTACATATTACAGAACATACAAATGCAATCAACTAAAATTATAAAAACTATGTGCCAAAAAAGTATAGATATACATAACAAAGACATTCAAGGAGCCAGAAGGTGGCATGGTGTAAGGCACTGGACCCTCGCCTGGCTGAACACAGTTCAAGTCACAGACCTGGTGGCTTGACTATTATGCTGGGTGTATGAGCAAGTGGGCCCAAATCCCAGAAGAATTGAAAAGGTATCGTGAGATAATCATTTCTCTGGGAGGTTATTTCTCACTTTCCCTTTTCTATCTCTGTCTCTCTCCAAGGAGTGCATGCACCCCATGGAAAAAACCTAATTAAAAAAAAAAAGATATTCGGAATAATATTGTAGTCATGGAATCCTTCAAATGTGGTAGTGTTTCAAGGTCACTGTGTGAGCAAGAGCTTCGTGTAGTGAATGCTTACCAACTATAGGAATGACAAAGAAAGGGGGCTCCTGACACGTGCGGGCTGAGAAAGGGGGCTCCCTGTGCTGGAGACCTGATCCTGAGTCCGAACAGTCGGTGAGCAGGTAGGTCTCCAAGTGAGGAGTAGCCGTAAAAAGTTTCCCAGGTCAGAGACAACT